CCCCCTCCACCACCGCCCTCTCTCACAATTCTCATATCGATTTTGTTACAGTTGACCTTCGAAAGCTTCACCCTTGGCAAATTCGTCTCCTTCACCGAGGAGGGTTGTCCCGATGGATCCCTACAGATATCCGAAGCCCAACGTCCCGACGTCGGTGGTCTTTGGTGTGGCACGTCCTGGGGTCCAGCTATATATTACAGCGAGACGTCAAGCGTCGCCATAACGCTACGGCTCTTAAGGCTCAGCAAAGATCAGACAGGATACAATTTCGACTTCAGGATGGGTTACAAGATGATAAGAAAATCGGACGCCGTGGTGCGCTACGGGAATCCATTTGTTGGTAGGAATAAATTTACATTATTTATGGATGATGAATTTTCATGGAATAAAAAGGAGAAAAAAAAACGAAGAATTAATTGAGAATTTGTGCGAGGTCAGGTATGACGCAGATCACCTCACCACCACCCACTACTCAACAGAGTTCATCGGAATATTCAAACACATCGATGGCCATGTCGGTTCACATGGAACAGGAGGATCATCTGACGCCCACAAAAGCCGCCCCTGAACAGTATTTGGGTGACCTAATAACAGGGACATACTGCTCGCGTATTTTTAGCGACTGCGATCGTAAAAAGTGTCGTCTTCAGTCGCCAAATTTTCCTGGATTGTATCCGCGTAATCTCACCTGTTACTACGCGGTAAGTCTTGGCATTCACGCGAGCTTCCATTGTGTATATCTACATATGAGCTTTAAGCACGAATTCACGGAGTCCCTTAACGCCGAGGTCGCGCGTCGTTATCCTCCATCCAAATGGACGGTCCGTGAGGAAGATCATAAAGCCCGCTCGTTAAATCTTAGTGACCGCTCGACGGATTCGCAAAAATGTTCTATATGTACGTAGATAAGGGATACGGGTATGTGGATGCAGTGCCGTATCTATAGCAGCCATAAATACAGTGGCGACAATGCTGAAGGTTTTCACTGCAGCATTCTTACGGTTAACTTGATTTAGCGTTTGGAAACCACGAGAGCGGAATACGAAATAACGACGACCACTCGATGTTACGTCACGGCGCTGAATTGCTGAACGTACCGATGTTGTTTTTATCAATTTTTTCCGTCTCTTTATTTTTTTGTATCAGCCGAGTGGCCACTGTAGCGTTTATATTGAGAGTCTTTACGAACTTTTAAAGAATATTAGAACTATATGTTTATGGCTAGATACGTTGGGGCGCCCGTGTTGCTTGGTACGCTCCTGTGTATTTCCTTATAATTATATTGTAAGCACTAGTCATATCGTAGCTCTATATGCTTTGAGGTTATGAGTGAACTTTTTTAGTAAAGTTTTCATTTAATTTCACCAATAGGTACGTCAGCACATAATTCCACCAGGAAAATACGCCTTGATTTCCGTGAGACAGACTCGCGGTCAGCTGATAGCGGTCAGAGCACTTCCGGCCACACAAGCTGAACCGCCACCACGTGAACTTCGACTTTGGCAGGATTGTGATATCGTTCAGGTTTGTGGTTATGTTTAACATACCTTAGGTTCTGTTACGTATCCATACGTGCTGATAGTGTTAAATGTAATGGATGCCATTTTTAATTTACAGGATTACGTCACTATATACGATGGATACACTACTCGTGATCCTGTGATTTTGAAATTTTGCGGCGGCGGCGAACCAGTCCCGGAGGCCATTAGTAGCGGCTCAGAACTCTTGGTGGAATTCACCACGTCGCCTTATGGAACGTTTCTTCGTCCCACGCCGCCTCACTCGCTTCATGGATTTCAGCTGGAGGTTCAGGTAGACGTGGATTTTACTTCGAAAGATTGGCTGCAATTAGATACGAAACTGTAATTAGATACGAAGCTAAATTGAATTTATTTGAACTGTAAGCAATTTTAATCTTAAATCTTCCACCAGGATATCATTTGGAAACTTCTTCAGGGCTGGTTGTGACTGGATTGATCTACTTACAGGTGAAGTTTGTGGATGCGAATTCACCGACCTATACAAGGAACAAGCGCTGCGAGTTTTGGCTTCAGGGCACCGGAGGAGGAGTACTGGCATCGCCTAGGCATTCTTTACCGCGGAATAGTACCTGTTTATATCATCTACGAGGAGCGGGTCCAGCTTTACCTAGTCCAACGCCGCCGCGACCTCTGCCAAAGTTTCCAGAGCAACGACCTGGTACTGTTTGGAGAAGACCCACGCCTAGAGCACCGCAACCGCAGTTTAGGGTATGGCTGTCCGTACTGAAATTTCACGTAGGGATGAGTCCTACCTCCGGCGAGGAGGAATGTGCCACTGCGTTAATGATCTGGGACGGAGAGATGAGACCTCTCACAGAATGCAATGATATATCCTGGTAAGCTTACAGAACTAAGAACGAAAAATAATCAGAAAATTTAAGACTCAAATTAAAATAACGTTCATACATTGTCAATGAACGGAATGACATGCGTTTCATGGAAAACTACCTTGTCTCTCTATCGCTCATGAATACAAAGAATTTTTGGTCAAAAAAATTCAGCAAAAAATAAAAGATAAATTGTGACGACTTGAGAGGTTAAGAAACCAGTGTCTAGTGGGATAAGTATCTGTGGGGCTGTGACAATTTTTCTTAGGGATCCCAAAAGGACTATTCGAAGACATAAAAACTATTCTGTCCTTCAGCAAATCCTTGCGCCATTACTGGACACGGTTTCAGTCTGCACGACGGATGAGGCTACTCTATTCTTTGGCAGACATTTTTTTCTCTCTCCATAACCCCTAAAACGTTCTGTGACCTATTGTCCAATTTTTTGTTTGTTCCACTTATCCATTCTTCTTCAATTCCCCGTCAATACAATTTAACTGTGTCTGATTACAGTGAGAAAGAACGACAACGGTACATCGAGAGGATTGGCGACCCTATACAAGCAATTTCTGCTCGACCTGCCGGCAATACGTCTTTATTGGCACGTTACTGTAAGGATCGCGTGCCTCGAACCTGCGATCACGCCATTTTGCAAAACACAAGCAGGCCATGTTCCCTGGGCGAGAGTTTCGTCTCATCGGGCAGCAGTTTAACGATTGAGATGCGCATGGTGGAGTCGACGGCCTTAAGGCAAGCTTTCAATGTATAAAATGCGCCCGAGACTGGTGAAACAATTGGGACGAGATTGGCAAGTCTGACAGTGATGGATTCAAGGGATAAAAAATAATGAGAGTACAAACGAAAGGACAAAGAAAACATATATACATTGGCATACCATATATAATTTTTAAATTATAAAATTTTATTTTTTGACATTGATTCACTTAATAATCTTAAGGATCGATATATTCAATGTGATCAATATACCTTTGTATCTTACTTTCGACGCCGTAACCTCCTTTACAAAACAAGTCTGTGAAACAGAACATTTCTACTCGGTATATTCATGAGTTCAATGTTTGAGACTCCCTTGACGGTAAACAGAAGGCCTCAGTTTGGTAGAGCTCGGAATGAAATACAAGGGGGGTATTCCACCGAACGAAATGACGACACTGGCAATATTGTTTCTTTCGGTTGTTCCCGGCTCTTCTCTATCTCGAGTGAAACCACCGTAAGGCACGAGTGTTTAAGGAAAGTAGGATTGGCTGAGCTTTTTCATGAATTTTTCACGTGCTACAACGGCTTACTTAATTTAGTCGAGGAGTAATGGAAAATCCTCGGGAATAATAATTCTCAACGTGATTTCGATAACTGGATAGAGCGACAAGAGAAGATGGAGAGTGTCTTTGCAAAGAACACAGAGATCGAGAGGCTCTCGCCATTTTACGTAAGAGTCTTTTCGAGATGGCCTCAAGGGGTGTTCAATTAAAGCTGACGCAATAATTATTCCATCTGCTTTCAAGTGTACCTTTCTATTATTATATTCTCACTGTTTACCTCGAGTTTATTTTTCTTTCATTTAAAGGCCCGTCAACTTTCGCGCGCTTTACGAATTCGTCGATCTTCATCAGGATGGGGATCCCTATGGCAACGGACCCTGTTCTAGGGTTTTCTACAGTCGAAATCGGGATCACTATGCCGATCGTCGATTTCAAGGTCCTAGGGATATTTTTCTTTACGGTCGTGGTGGTTCCAAGAATCTTAGGTAAGTTACTTTTTAATTATTACTTTCGTCTTTTTTAATAATTTTACAAGAATACCTGAAGTATCGTGGTATTTTTTTTTAACACAATTAATTGGTAGTTTAAAGGTTATTTATGCGATCGTTATGCTTTACAGGCGATGGAACTTTGAAGTTTCATTGATTACTTTCATATCGAGTCTTATGTTATGGCTTGACTCGTTAAAATCACGTGTAGGAAAACTTGGGTAATTTAGTGTTGGTATAACGTGCAAACGGAACAACGTAAACTGAGGCACTAATGAAAACTTGATAAGCTGTAAATTCGATACGAGAACAATATGGAGGTCTTGGCTGTCTGCTACTCTTCTTCCGTTTGGAACGTGTCTGAATGAATAATAAGATATTATTGTTATTATTGTCACATATTGTAAAGTAACGTTCAACTTATCGGAGCTACGCACGTATATAATTGTCAATTTACGTTGAAACTTTGCAAAATAGGGATTTTCATACAACTGGGACATTACTGTAATCTTTTATTTTACGTTGATGATAAATTTATTTTTGTAAACACGTATTCTTGGAAATCTTGTAATCATCCTATTGTATCTATCGTTGTTTTATTTGTATTATTTGAATTCTGTGTCTGCTATGCTTTATTTAATTTTACTAAAACCCGTAAAAGCAATTTCCTTAATTACAAACATTTTTGAAAGACAATAATACGGCAGTCCTTTAATTCTATACAATTCCGCAGTTGCGTCTACCGATTCGAAGGCGAGCACGATGAAGTTGTAAAGTTGCGATTCAACAAGCTCTTCAATGGGAATCGTAGCTGTCGCAGTGTTTCCAGTCCAGACTTCAACCGACTGCTTTGCGTTGGGTCAAAAAGTTTTTCCCTGAAGGTAAGTAAACAAAAAAAATTCACAAAAAAGACGTTTTATTCTGTTTGTCAAAAAATAAAAATTCAACCGTTGACTATATAATCCATGAAATTCTTGATCGGTGCATTTTTTCATTTTTTTTTTTTTTTGACAAATCGCGATATCGTTGGTTTTTGATACGCACGTTGTAGAAACGCTGTTAACTACCTTCGTGATTAATTGCCGTATATACTGTATCGATGGCAATTCCAGTCCGGGACGGGAACAAACCGGCAGGAAATGGATTGGCACGCGAAACAGAGACAGGTGTGGAAAAGAGAAATTCGCAGCTATGGAAACAAAAGAACTAGCGTATAGTGTAGGAGTAGGAAAAAAATGATAGAAATCCGCACTAACCAACGACTGGTACCTCACATTTGTCACTTTTCGCGGTAATTTATGAGCGGACGTAGTATTAATTACTGGCAATAACAGACTAATTTGTCTGGATGTCATTTGTTCCTGTTATCTCATTGGAACAGTACCGGGAAACTGACCGATGATCGAGTTTTATACAGTGGCAGTTTATGCAACACACAGCAGAAATACGGTATTGCAGTTTCCAACATAGATTAAGTACTTTAATTATTGAAACACATTTCATAAAGTGACGCTCCAGATATGGCTATCAATACGTTTCCATTGTATTCGAAATTCAATTAATTTATGATTAATTAAAATAATCAATTGTATTACAGGTGTTGGATATACCCTGGGCAAATGCACCCCCGGTTCAGCGCGACTGTCTCTGCTCGAATCGTTCCCTGCCCATAAACATCAAGTCGACTTCAAATATCGTGGAAGTGCACTTCACCGTAAAGTCCATGGATGCCCTGGACGACTACAATAACCTCTTCTTCGAAGGCGTATGGGATTTTGTCAAAACGATGCCCTGCCTGCAGAAGCATCGAGTCCGGGGACCATCCGGAGAGATTAAAAATAGGTCACCCTTAGCGGATCAGGATGAGGTAAAACTGCGCCATCTGCAGAACGTTAAACGAAGGTTATATAATCAATGAAATTTATATTAATACAATTATATTTCATTTCTGCAGAAACACTGTGAGAATTATCCCTGGCTCATCGACCCTGGCCCTAATCAGTATCTCTACGTAAAGATGCACGGTACAATAACGTCAAATAAAACGTCCTGCTCGACGACTAACCGCGTAGTCATACATACTGGCGGCGTAATTCACGCGTCGGTATGTCCTAAGCCACCTACCGACTCCAGAGACCACGTGGTAGAGGTATTCAGCAACGGCTGGGCAGTCAGCAGCGACCACGTGATCCTGGCACCAGCATACGATCCAATTAGGACCATCGTAGTAGAATTCATCAACAATGAACCGGATATGCACGCGGTTACTTGGTTGGAACTGTCGAGAAGGTAGGAATCTATATTACCGACAGTCGCCGTGATATCTTATATATGAATATTTACAGACCAACAGTAACGTCACCTGCAGTCGACTTACAAATGCCACGCGACTGCGAGCACCGCTGTCCTGAGTTGGACGCCTGCATAAATTCGTCCCTCTGGTGCGACGGCGTATCGCACTGTCCATCCGGATATGACGAGGCTCTGACGCATTGTTCAGTTCTTCTACGACTTCCGCCGCTTTATCTGGGACTTGGTGTTTTGGTAGTCGTGTGCTTAATAGCTTTTACTATATTCGTAATCTGCAGGGTCTGTCGACGACGAGCTAATCGCTCGATCTCCCAGCATCGACTCAAGAGCATCTCCTCGGAAACGGCGATAATCGATGGGAAGGAAGTGATATGCTGACAAAGCGACAGTTCTGTGCGATACGTCGAGGTCGACCGGGTGACTACCGTGTGACGATCGTCACCGGTCAAGGTTCGGGGCGAGGAGGATGACGCTTTAGATATTGCCGGACGAATTATTGCGTCGGTTATCGAGCGTCATTTCACGACGTGCTCATTGTTACTGTCAGGACGACGTTCGACGTTCCCATGAGTATCGGCCCTGAACCATCTCAACGTAACACGCAGAACTGTTTAGCGTTAAGGGATTAACTCAGTGCTAGCTGGTTAAGCTTGTCATTCATTGGTTCAGGTGACGTGCTGCTCGTTCCGTTCAATCCCATACGACTGGGAGTGGATTGATTTTTGAAATTTCTCAAGAAAGTAAGATCTTGTAAGAGAGTCTCCTAGACGAGAACGTAACGTTTTGGGGAAACCTGGATTTTTTTTTTATACAAACTACAGAAACGCCGAGGACAATAACGTAGTGATGTATGTACGAGAACATTATCAAAAGTGAACAGCGAGCATAAACCTTGACCAATGTTTGATCGTAGGTAAAGCGACGAGCTTCGTGGTAAGAAAAATTTGGCAGAGGAAGAAAATATTGCCGATCATCTGGGTTTGATATTCTCACGAACTTTTTCTCATACGTGAAAGTCGATCGGTGTGCACCCGGATACTCTGTACTGTATAGATACAATTTAATTGTCGGGATGGTCGCCACTGCGCGACGGTCGTCGTCTCGACGGAGATATAGATGAAATTGAATTAGATACCGACCAAGTTGAAGTATTACTTAGAGACAATGTAATTAAATTAGGGGCGAGATAGAATGGAAAAAGAAGAACTTATTGGAGACGTAGAGTGTAGCCTGAAATTATGTGATATGCTGTTTTCCTCGGAGCTGTGCTTCGGATTGTTACGCCGCGGTTGGCATCGGTATTGGCCACTTGTAATTTATTGATCACGTGTAATCTATCCTTCTATTGATTCTATCGATTCTAACGATACCGATGCTCTTACCTTGGCTTGTACACCTTGTTCATACTTGTACATATTTAATATTCTATATATAACAATATCAAACACTCGCCTTCGCGTGCACGCGCGTGCGCATTGCACGATTTCAGGATGAATTTCAAAAATGAATATTTCCGGTGCAAAAAATTAAGAATTAATCAAAAATATCGTCAGCCGTACGCGCGAAGGTCGGTGTTCCGCCGCTTACTATTAGTTGATAAGTGTAGATTTTAAGAACTTCGTGAGAAGTGACTTTTTTGAATTTTGGGAGAGACAGAAGGGAGTATGAGAGTGAAAAAGATAATCCGAAGATTCAGCGTGCAAAGGGGGATGCGCGCCATCAGCTAGCCGGAAGCACCGCCATCTTTTTCGCCATCGACAGTGCATACACAATAACGATTCGTGTTAATACACATAGTTATTCCTCTTCACCATTTCCAAGTCCCATATCCATAATCTACCTTACTAGATGGACACTTACCCTATCCTCATCCTAACGTAATCTAACCAAGCAAAACCTATGATGTCCCGTTACCATGTTAAATGAAGACAATCGTTAATATATCCAAGTGTTTCTAATCTAGTGATTTGATCTAGGCAATTTTAACTGTACTCGTTCGGTATAGCTACGTTTTAAGTAGTTTAACGCTAGTTGAATGTCGCGTCGAATGCAAACACAGCGAATTGTAACAGCACCACTTGTCCTAACATTGACACAAGATTAGGAATAATTTTTGGTCTGTTTGGATTGCTTTGCGTACATCAAAATCTTCGATTATGTAGATCCTATAGTACGTATGAAACAATTTTCGTTTGACCTTAGCAAAAAAAAGAGATGATAATACAATTATTAGAATTATTCCTGTCGTGAGACATAAGAGAGTAAAGAGAAAAGGAAATTAGATTTTTATTTCAATTATTATAAAGAATTAATCAAAATCAAGATTGTGTCCTCGCTCTGTACTCGCATCGAAACTTTGAATATTTCGGGACCAACATTGAATTTTGACAATGGAGACCTGCCTCTTGCTCCGGGACCGGAAGTGTGCTTGATTTTCTTTATTAATCATAAAACGCAATTTAATCGGACTCGTCGCTACGACGACTCTCGAGATTTACTCCGTCGCAGAAACAACGAATTTATTCTTGAAGTTTTACGCTTATAAAATCGTCTAATTATCCTGTTAATTAATTGTGCTCGTTAGATTGTTAATTCCTGTATCCTTCCTACCGTCAGAACCGAACTTTTATATCTGCTGGCAATACCATAGCAATAATTGTTCTTAAAGATGATCAATGTTTCAAATTCTACACCGATAAGAATTTATATAGTCTTATACTTAAATACGGGTCTACTGTTATGCTAATTTAAAAAAAAAAACCAAAGACTAATAATGTGAGAATTCCGACAAAGTTATAATATTCTCATCTCGTGACGGATTTTCTCATATGTTTACAACAGGAAGGATAAGAAGGTTTCCGGGATAGTGAGGAAGAAAAAAAATGATTAAGTATCCCTAGAAGTCCGTACCGCGACGCGTCGATTATTTCGAATACAAGCGAGCTTGACACGATCTATTTAATTTCTGTGTTGATTATAAAATGTTTTTAATCTACCAAATAGCGATATTGCTCCTATAATATTAATTATTCTTTCGAACGAATCTCACAAATAATGTTCAAGCGAAAATGTTTATGCGAACGTTAATCGCGGAATGCAGTAATTTTATTTGTATACTTCTGATAAAAAGAGATGTAGTTTATTGTTCCGTGCTCTGTATCCTTGGATGACGTAACGTTTCTGTCATTAAAATGGCCAGTTCGAAAATAAGCGTCGTCAAATATTGTGAAGTTAACGATTAAAAAAGAATCAACGCACTTTTATATGTGCGCTGCGAATTCGATTGCATGTATAATCGGCGGCGGTGTTTATGATCGATAAAATTCGTACGAATTCTAAGCTCGAATGATCTTGTTTACTTCTACGTATAGAAAGATCGGATGTAATGCTCCGCGAATTAAATCGTATGATAAATCAACGGCTGCCGTGATCTCGAGATCTATCGGATCTGATCGAGTCGATTTTGAAGTCGAGATCGTTTGTAAATAGAAGTATGTATGAATTTTAAATCGTAGAACCACACGATGTAAGCAAATAATAATTAACATAGATGATTAGCTATTACTATTATCATGTAAACCATATCTACGGACGCGTTTTTCATAGCGGATTAAACGCGAGGAGCACTTCGGCAATCGTCGGGAGAATTCGTTGAATCATTTTCTGGATCAATAAGAGGTTGACGTTCCTTCGAGACTTAGCAGCGAATAAATGCCCATGGTAATTAGGCTTATTCGTATTGATTAAGGAGGCGATTGGGCCATTTTACTTACCACGCGAATAAAATTTTAAGAAAAATTGTAAATAACAGGATTTTCATAAAGATCAATTTCCAAAATTGAGTTCAGCGCATATTTTTTAAGGTCGATAATGATTTGGAAACTCTCAAATAATTAACCTAAAAGTGAAAGAGTACTTTGATCCGAAGTTTTGTACATTTTTCAAATTTATATAAATTATTTCTATACAAAAATCTGTCACGTACGATTTTCGTTGACATTTTGCTCGCATGGTAAATAAAAAAAGCCAGAGCTTCCTTAAAAGTCTTATACGAGAATGTTAATGAATTTTCTGATAAGTATTGAACAACTTATTGAATTTATACCAGAAACATTGTAAGATGTGAATTTAATATTGGAACGATATTTAAGATGATATCGAAGATCTATGAAAGATCGATATTCGTATCGAACGTGACGATCGCCATGAAGTTCGTCTCGTGACTATGTACGATCGTGATGTTTGCCAACGAGTAGCGACGAATTTGACTTGCAGTTATAATTTTTCATAGGTCGCTGTCTCGATTAAACGCGTAAATCAAAGAAAAACGAATAACAAAAATCAGAGTGAAATATAATTAATAAATAGAAGCTACCTTCTTCAAGGGAGTTTTGAACTCACCGACTGACGCGCGTAGTGCTATGCTCCTAGTAAGTACTTGTGGGTTCGAAACTCTTTCAAGACTGCCGTGAACGCTTATTCTTTCAAAGAAAAAAATGAAAGCTACAAAAAGGTATATATAATATACAACAGTTCATCCGCAATAATTGCCAGCCGTGTGAATCTAGCCATTAAGATTCCCTCGCTGCCGTAAAATAACTGACGACGTGTTTCTTTGTTTCAACCATTTTGTCCAACCATTTTGTTTTCGCTATTTCTCTTCTAAGAAAACTTTCAAGAGAGTCCCGACGTTACGCTGACGACGAGAAAGAAAAATTGTTATGAAGGAAGAAAGAGACGGTGTTTAAAGAGAAAAAAGTTAACGTTTTTTTTGCCCTACCGCAAATTCATCAACGTTAACGTCATTAACGCGATAAGAAAATCTCTTGAGAGCCAATAAGCATAGGAATTTTTTTTATGAAGGTTGCAGAATAAAGCCAATTCATTTATCTTTACATTTAAACTTGATTAGCAGCGAGGGTTTTAGCGAATAACATCGTTCTAAACGATCCACGTATAGAGGCTATTACTGTCAGCTATTTTCTTTTCTTTCTTATACTGATTCTTACGTCACTTCGTGTCATCCGTATTACCCTCCGTCGGTAACTTGATTTATTTTCACGTGTTGTCCCGTTTAATTTTTTACAAGACGACAAAAAATGTGCGAAATGGAAAAAAAATATAATTAATTCATAATTAATTATTACGTGACATAATGCAACGAGACGAAATATGTTTAACGTTGGATTCTGGTGAAGCGTGAAGTCAGGAGATAAACTGACAATAACACACAGAGAGACATACGCACACATAAATCTCCTTTTTAATGGGTGACGAGGACGTGGTGATTTACGCTTTGTAAATTAAAATGAAAAAGATACACGGAAACGCACACGCCACATTTAATAATAGTAAAGATGAGTTTGATGAGACCGCGTGGCACGTAATTCAAGCGATTTTTTGTTTTCATAGTAGCTTCATCAAAACTGTCATTTTTGGTTAGGTCAGTTCAGGCAACAATGATGACGCCATATACATATAATTACGTAGTAATTTAATTCCATGATTAGGCATATGAATCAGCATCGACGTCACTGAGGCACGAATTCTTAGTAACGCGAAGTTAGCTATAAACAAATTAAAAATAACGTGCCACTCGACATCATTGAGCCACGTTTCAATCGTATCCGATTAAAGGTAACAAGAACAATAACGATTAACTACCGCAAGACGTATACTATATTCTCACCGATCACCAACATGCTCACACAACACGCATAGTTACTAATTATACCATTACTGATTCGAATATCAAGTATGCGACATTTTTAATAAATTATTTTGAAGATTGAATCGATTTCGTGTTATTTTCTATCCCACTAATTCACCTAGTTGTATTATGAATTTATTATTTTCGCATAATTAATTATTATGGTAAGAAAAGTGCGTTATTATAAATAGAATTTTTTTTGCGACTAAATAAAATGGTTCCACTTCTCGGAAATTGATTATAAATGTAGTAATCTTTATCTGGTCTAGAGATGTTTTCTTGCTAACAACGTTGCGTATACCGATAATGTCCTTCCTTCCTTTCCTTATGGCTGCCTCCTTCAATGAGATGTGCCAGTAACTGGTATACCGATCATGTGATCGGTTCGTCATACTTGTGCCACTAAACTGTAGTCATATCGGGAATACGGCAATGGTGGTGGCTGTGTAGAGAGAGAGAGAGAAATAATAAGGACACAGGTCAGTGTAGCAGGCTGTTTCTATCACACACTGTACAGTCTCTGAAAATGTTTAAGCTGACATAAAGCAGTACGCACGGGGAGGACTAAGTCAACATAACATAACTTGAAATAGTGGCACATATATTTTATTTCACACACTGTTAAATATTTTTTTGTCGTTTTTAAAAGGCTCTATGTTTATACCATGGAGCCCAGATAGGATTTATATGCACTTGTATTTCAGTGCTCTTTTCATTGCACTACGGCTGGCCCTGATATGTCGGCGACACAATATTTTTGCAGGGCTTGTACTATACCACATTTGCAGTTCAATTCAAAAGGACAACCTCATCCACGATGTGAGTGAGACAGCTTCGGGCTGGCCGGGTTACCTGCGAATACAGGCGTACGTATTTCAGTATGTTTAGAGATCAGTGCTTGCTACTGACTGTCTCTGACGGAAATAGATGTTGAGTGACGTAGAAATTCGTTTGTCTTCCTGCCTCAATACAGTTAACTTTCTATGGCGCTAGCTTAGTAATCTCACTTACGTGTCCTTTGCTGTTACCACCAATCTTTTTTGCGCAACAACAGAATACCGGGAAAACATTTTGGTAAGTGCCAGTAAACTATGTTTAAAAGTAGACAATAAGGGATATAAGAACCATTTGTAGAAATTTGACTATCAGTGGATCATTGGCCGATAAAGTGATATTATTCGGCAGTATAATAAATAAAAAAAAAACCAACAGAGATTCTTCGTGGGTGTGTCAGCTTTCTATAACATTTACTAAATTTTGTTTTTGTGTTCAAGTAGGTAATACTATTTTCTATGGGATTTTAAATTAGTTTGGAAATACAGTTTGTATGTCATTCGATATTTTATTGAATGTATACGACGTTTTCTAGAAGTTTTTCATTTCACTATTATTTGAACTTAAACTCATTATACATCTAATTGAATATTACGTTTTTTACATCGTGCCATTGTTTATAATTTAATTTTTGTTATTGTTTCAGATACTTTATATTGACTTCACTGTAAAAAAGGCAACATGAGTTACGGATATCAGGTTAGTAAACATTTACATCATCAATAAAAAACTTATTGCATCATTTGAATTGTAATTTTCATTCCTTTTTTTTATTATACATATATGGTTTTAATTTTTAATTTAGAACTAATATATTGAATTGTATATTTATAAATCAAGCTAAACCTGTACTATGTCCTGCAGTAGAAAAACCTTATGTTCCTGAATAATATTCCTGATACAGTGAATTTCATCCATGAAAATAATTTAATGCATTCAACTGATATACGAAGAAAAAGCATATAAAATGCAGTTATTTTTGAAGTTATTTTTTTGCTATTCCATAACAATTAAGGGACCACCATCAGTCTTGCCGTTCCAACAACAAAAGCCACCAACGTCATTTGGTGCTCCACCTGGTGCACCGTCTGCCCCTGGTGCTCCGCCTTATCCTCAGAGTAGTTCTATAGGTTTTAATCCTGGACCTCCGACGTCTTTTGGCATGCCACAACCTTATTCTCAATATCAACCAAGTCCCTATCCCCCACAACCAAATCCTTATTCGCAGCAACAAAATCCTTATCCAGAGCAACTAACTTCTCATTCACAATCTAGTTTTCGTCCATCGTCAGAATTACATACAGTACCACACTCATCACCCTATCCGCAACCTAACCAGTCTTTTCCGTATCCTCAACAATATCAACAACGTGTATCCCAAGAATATTCAGGCCATCAGCAGCCATCTTACAACCATGATTTACGGTCGATAAACCTTTCTGTATATCCCAATTGCCAAAATGTTCCTGATGGCTCTAAGCATTATGGAGATAGTGGACCATCTCGTTATCCTAATCATACAGCTCCCTCCTATAACCAGACTGTACCTGGATACCCTGGCGGAAGTTTTCCTGGGGGGCAGGCAATGGTTGGTGCACAACCAGGTGCTGGTACAAGATCAGCAGCACCTCACTATCCTGGGCCAGCCCCCAGGCACCCACAGGTTCAGTCAAAGGTGAGATTAATAAGCTGCAGTGAAGAGTTTCATTCATAATTTTAATATTTTTATATATTTGTATTGTATCTAGCATAACAAATTTCAGAAAAGTTTCATTAAATTTGATAACAAATTTTGAATAGTTACTTTTTTATGTTACAGTTGTCTCCAACGGTTGTACCGGATCCTAATTTCAATGCCAGGGCAGATGCCGAAGTTCTTAGGAAAGCAATGAAAGGATGGGGAACCGATGAAAAATCAATCATTAATGTCCTTGCCAATCGAAGCAATCTTCAACGCCAAGAGATTGCAGTACAATTTAAGACACTTTACGGAAAGGTAAAAAAAATGATTGCTAATACCTATTTCATATACATATTTAAAAATTGTTCTATCCCTACAGGATCTTATCAAAGATCTGAAATCAGAACTTTCTGGAAATTTCGAGGATCTTGTAGTCGCCATGATGACACCTTTGCCACAATATTATGCCAAGGAATTACATGACGCAATGTCAGGTCTAGGCACTGACGAATGCGTTCTAATTGAAGTTTTATGTACTATGTCTAATCATGAAATACGGGTCATTAAGCATGCCTATCAAACCAGTGAGTTATATAGAATTATCTTATTAACAGCATCGTACTTCAAATGAATATAATAATTAATATTACGTATCATTTAAGTGTATGGCAGAAGTTTGGAAGATGACCTTATCGATGACACTTCCGGTAGCTTCAAACGTCTAATGGTCTCTCTATGCTGTGCAAATCGGGATGAGACCTTTAATGTGGATCCCCCTGCTGCTATGGAAGATGCCAAAGAGCTTCTAAGAGCTGGTAAGTACTAAAATTATTTTCTTAACTAATCGTAAGCATTAAAATCCATCGTTATGGAATTTGAATTCATTTTCAATTTTATGTCACAATAGGAGAGTTACGTTTTGGTACGGATGAGTCCACGTTTAATCAAATTCTCGTACAGAGAAATGTTGCCCAGTTAAAACAAATTTTTGCTGCATATGAAAACATAACTGGCCATACCATCGAAGAAGCAATTGAAAATGAATTCTCTGGTGACATCAAAAAGGGTCTACTTGCCATTGGTAAGTTTTGGTAACGTCATCTTAACATTTTGGAATAAAATTATCGGACTCGGTTTGAAACATGTAATATGTACTTTTTATTTCTTAACAGTCAAATGTGTGAAAAACAGAGCTGGATTTTTCGCTGAACAGTTATATAAGAGTATGAAAGGATTGGGCACTGATGATCGACGATTAATTCGATTGGTCGTGACGCGGTCTGAAGTAGATATGGGAGAAATAAAAGAGGCCTTTAGACAACAGTATGGTCAGACCCTGGAGGATTTCATTGCGGTTAGTATTACTTTACTGATTTAAAAAAGTACTGAATCATTTGTACTTATGGTTGGGATTTTTTTTTGTTTTTCAGGACGACTGTTCGGGTGATTATAAAAAATGTCTTCTGGCTCTCATCTCTTAACAAAGTTTAGTAAATGGTATAATCTGTTTCCTATGCATTTACTCGTATTTGACCTACTCGATAATACTGGAATACCAGTGGTATTGGACGCTGAATTTTCAATTTTGAATCTTGCGTAGATTATATTTTTTTTTGGATATGATTGACAATCTTCTCACGCCCTTACTTGATATGATATTCTTCATTTAAAAATTAACGTTAAAATATACATGTATTATATTCACATGTAACAATTTAAAGTTCTCCAATGTCTTCTAGAGTGCCAATACCGTTCGAAAGTACTTCGAATCGGTTATGATGTGCGCAAATTTACAAATTTATGGTGTTGGATACACTGTGTTATATTATATCCTATTTATCATACTTAATGAGAATGTATTGATTATGCGTAACTGTTAAAATATTGCTATTGCGAAATTCATTAATTTAAAAATGTACTGTCAGACATAATATTTAATTTCATCGAAAGAATGATTTATTTTAGATAACTGTATTTTTATACTGTATTTATCACATGAGCAAGCAAATGAACCAAATTTCGAATTCGTTTTCCTCAATGAAAGATCTTGTGAATAAAGTATTAAATAATCTAAAAAATACCTGTACAATATTCTCATCTCCCAATAGAACTAAATCTTAATTTCCAAATTAACGAAACAAGAAAAAAGTCCCCGAGTACCAATTTCAAATGAAAAGGGGACTCCGGACCTTTTCTTTACCATACGAGTATAATTCCGACGGAAATCGTAATAACACGATTTCAAGAGACTCGGTCGAGTCTCGCGCCAAGTACAGGCAACCGGCTGTACAGGGCACAGCTCGCCGAGACTCTTTACTTGAGTCAACTCTTATACCTGTGTTTGGAACGAAATATCTTATTAACCGCTATACATGAGAAAAAGTTATTGATACATTCACTATAGGAATTGAGGGTCCTGAATTGATTGCCACCACGTTCAATACGATTAGTAAACGAGATCAGGGCGTATTGAGATGGCGAGCGAGATGATTTTATTTCAGTTCCGTCGTCGTCGTCGTCGTCGTCGTCTTCGGACGTCCATCGCATTTTTTTATATAATTTATGCCAGTCATTAAACTCAAAACCAATATCAACTTTCTATATAGAGCATACTAACAATAACTCGTCAATAATAATCACGGTAAAAGCTTAATAACAAACATATGGTATTAGAATACTATTAGTACGTTCAAAGTAAGTACTTTAGAATTTTTTGCACGGACCCGCCAAGTAGTACTCGATAAGGAATCACCTAAAGTTTTATTAATTATTAAAT